TTTTGATGGGTTCTAAGGGAAGTTTTAGAGAGAAGGAGAAGCATCTAAAGGCTAGAGAGAGTGTGGCTTGGGTGCATTTGAAGGAAAGCACTGAAACTTAACTTTTATACTACAGCAGAACGATACCATTTTGGATAAGTCAGGATTCGTGCGTAGACCCAGTGACTCGCATGTTGATTCGCGCCTTGATCTGACCCACTTGCAGGTTTTTTTTATTTTATTTTTAACCTATTTTTATTATTTTTTGGTTTTATTTTTTTCTTAAAAAAAAAGAAGAGAGCTATTTCTGCCACTTTTATTTCCAAAAGAGAGAAAAGAAAAAAGAAAAAAATAATTCTAAAAAAAGTGAAAAAATGATAAATAAAAAAAATCCTTTCAATAAAAGATAAAAAAAATATTTTCAAATAAATTAAAAATAATTTTTATCCTCTAAATTATTAGGGGATTGCTTTGAAGTAAGCCATACCAAACTATTGGGAGGCTTCACTAATTTTTTTGAAATAAAAATTAATAAATCCGACAATAGAACATCTTCAAGGTAAGATATTAGTCTCCATAAATACTCTTGAAGTGACAGAATTATCCTAAATTGCTATTAAACTATTGGGACAATTTTAAGATTAATTTTCAATATTAAATTTTTGGTAAAATCATGAAAGTGATTAAGGCTTAAATAATTCGAAATCAGATTGGTACCATCCTTTGGACATGCATTATGAGGGTGCTACAACTTTCCACATACGTGACCGATTCCAAAACCTAACATCTATTTTGCATATCAGATTCAATCAAGTGGTCAATCACACTTAAACAAAAAAAATTGGTGGCGACTTCCTTTCATTAATGTCTAGCGGTAACTCCATGAATCTATATATTATGACAAATATAATATTTTTGAAACACTAAAAAATATAATTTAAAGTTAATTTTTGTTAATAATAGTATTAATGTTTTATTCAAAACACCAAATTCAATCAAATGTTAAAATTATGATATAATTTTTATATTTGAATTATCAATATAATAAAATTAAAATAATTATGCAATAAGTAAATGAATCAATAATATATTTTTAAACGATTATTTTATAATAAAATTAAATGTTATATTAATTTTTTTTTGTTTTATATTGACAATTATTGTAAGTATAATGAGGGGATAGCATTAAAAATTATTAGATATTAATATTTTGTGTGTTTCAAATTATTATTTTATAATCGAAATTAAAAATTTATTGATTTGTTGGTTATTATTGATATAATTATTCAATAATTATCAATAATAACATTTTAAAAATTTTTAATTTTTAATTAAGAAAAATATTTATTATGTATTTAAAATTCATATAATTATAGTTCAGGTTTTCTCATATTACAATTTGGTTTTTTATGTGCTTCATATCGGATCGATCTCAGGTTCAAATCATTACAGATTCGGGATATGATGGATTTAGGTTGTATAAATTGAGTTTTTTTGGATTTTCAAAAATTTTCAACTTAGAATTTTTTGGATTTCGTTCTTTGACTATTTTGGTCAATTCGGGTCATTAGGATTTGGTCATGGATCAATTCAAACAGATTTTTGAATTCGGATCAGCTTTGCAACCTCTATTTCTTACCTTTTATTTCTCTAATTTTCTTACATACTTTTCTATATGGTCATATTACCATATTTATAAGAAAAACAAGAAAAGGAATATATGGTTTTATGTTTGAATTCAAGGATATAACTAATTGACCAAATGCTTGTTTCAATTCAAACCTTGTATAATTGCCTAAAACATTCGATAGTGTCGAGTTCTGCCCTAACCATTATAGGCAAATCCTTTTTACATCTCCCATTCGCATAAAATGGGTGACAAACTCTCATAATTAAGAGAAAATTTTTTCTTTTCTTTGTAACGGATTCAAATTAAAAAGTAAGTTGTGTAACTAGCAGACTTCAAGAGCTAGTTGTTATACAATTGTTAGGTGTATATAATAACTCGTAAACATAATTAGTTGCTATACAACTGTTACGTACATATAGCAACTCATAAACATAAGTACTGTAATTATGCAGTATCCTAGATTGATTTAGTCATATTTCAAAATCCTCACAATCTTTCTCTTTTATCATATTGTATGATATACTTGTGTATTCACAATTATGTTCAACACATTAAACATAATTGGTTGACTTATGAATACAACTAAAAGTGACATTGGAATTATCTTCACTTTTTTAAAATCTTTGTATTTCAATTCAATTGCTCTTTAAATATGTCTCATTAAGTCAAATCGTTCATGATCATTGGTAACATTTTAAGATAGTTAATACTGAATTGAAAATTTGAGAAATAGTTGAAAGTCATTAAAGAAGCTAAGTCATGATCTTTTTGATCTTGTAGGTTTCACACAATTAGGAAGCAGAGATATATTTTTCTATTACTCTTATTGGTAAAAAAATGCACGTGTGGTATGAAACATATATTACTACATTACTCTCATATGGGACTTATGTCTTTCATTATATGTACCATATAGGTTATAGTTCAAATACACTTATTATCTAACATAAGTTCATAACTCTACTTTTTTTAACACAACAGGACTCTCACTTGGCAGATTAAGATATATAATAAGAATAATTGAATTATTTAGTTTCAATCACAAATCTCATTATCAAGTGACTTCATCTTGATTCATTATTAAGGTGATTTTGTTTTAAACTTGGGCTCCCAAATTCCATAACTTAAAACTAATGACATTTTTATATGAAACTAAGCCATTAAGGCAATTACATGTGTGAAAAGGCTAATCATCTATTTTTCATACCTTTCATATCATATTTTATATGTATATAACATATACATTTGTGTATGCACCACAAATCAAAGTACTAAGCATAATGGTATTCATTGTATTTAATATAAATCAACTTAAATAGTAAAATGTCATACATTGTTCATATAGAATAGCTCAATTAGTATATGTATATCAATATCTATGTAACCTCAAAGATTTCATGTGGCTATTAAACATGTTTTTGGTATAAGCTTTGTAAATGGACCTACAATCATCTTATGCGTAAAAATGTATAGCATGTTGACTTCATTTTATACAACCATGTTTTTCACAAAAGTATACTTGGCATTGATATGTTTGGTCTTTGAATGATATTTGAGATCTTTTCTAAAAGCAATTGTAGCTTGACTATTGTAATTCACTAACACTAAATTAGACTTACCTTTCTTAAATCTCAAATGATTTAAAAATTTCTTAAGCCAAACAACCTTTTACACTAACGCTGAAAATGCTATAAATTCAGCTTTTATTATGGATAGTGTTATATAAGTCTGTTTCTTACTACTCCATGAAATAGCCCTATTATTTAGTAAAAAAACATAGCTAAAGGTATATTTCTTTTTATCTAAATCTCTTTCCAATCGGCATCCGTGTAGTTGACTAAATGCAAATTACTTCTTTGATAGTACAACCCACAGTGCCTTTTAGATTCCTTAATATATTTTTCATGACTTTATATCTTTTTGAGATATATGATGAAGGGATTGAATTAAAGTGATATACTGTGCATGAAATGTAAGTCAAATCATCTTGACTTTTCTAACATTTGGGTTATCATTGATGTTTTGCAAGATGTCACTAATAATCTATAAATATAAAAAGAATTCTTAATTGAATTAATTCATATTTATTGGTAACATATTGAGAATCTAATGGGTTACATACAATAAAGCGACATGATGAATTGAAATGGAATTGGTGCTATAGAATTGTGAATTTAATAAAAGGACTTAATCAAAAATATTAGTTAAGTAAAATGTTAAAACTGTAATTTTGTGACATAAGGCACTTAAACCTATCTTTATTTAACACATGCTTAGCTACCCTTTGCTTAAAACATAAGAAAGAAATTGGCAAGAATATAACATAGAGTTTTATAACGCATTCTTCTTTTCCATAAGGTTTTGTTGAAATTTGTCTTATGACATTGGAGGTTGCTACAACATGTTCCTAAAAATAAGTTTTCTTGTTTTGTTGTGTTCATGAATTACCAAAGCTAGTTATGATTGTCACAAAAAGGGAAAAAATTTTGAATGTTAAACTACTAGCATAGATTTCGCTAAACACAATCGTTATCTCTTGAAGTTTCAATTTTTCATCTATGTGAATTGTTGTCGAAGGTTGGACTATTAGCATAAATTTCACTAAACACAATCCTTACCTCATGAAGGTTTCAATTTGTCATCTGTATGGAGTATTTTTTAAACCGAGCTTGATGTATAAGATTTAAGTGGAGGAAGTTGAGTTCTTGAATTTCTTGGCAATCCAAAGCTTGAGATATGAGCTAGACTTATATTTGAAAGTTGTATGCATACCGATTATAATGTTCACAACAAATAGATATTTTGTTTGAATTTAGTTTTCTTTGTTTTTATTTCTGCTATGTTATTACAAAATTGTAAGTATGTTTATATAACAAGCATGGTCGAATCTTACAATATCTTCACCCCAACATTGTTATTACCATCTAATTCACTTTGTTCATCTTCACTGTTAATCGTAATAATTTATTTTAAAATATATAAAATTACATTAAAAAATGTATCAATTGCTACATTATGTAAAAAAAAAATGTCATAATTGCTTTAATAAAAAATTAATTTCATTACCAGATTTATTTTTAAAAAGGTAATATAAATTAAAAATTTTTTTATTTAGGTCAAATGTAAAACTTAAATAATTTTATGTTCGAAATCCTAAAATACCATAATAAAAAATGAATTACCAATTGTCGAACTTTAAGTATTATTAAAAATTTGATATCTTTTTCAAAAATCAAGTAATCCTAAACCAAAGTTAGAAATAAAATGCCCATAATTAAAATTTTGAAAAAAATTGTTTGAATTCTCTTTAAGGAAACAACTTCCTCTAGTTAACAAGTACAAATGTTATAGCATAATAATAAACAGTTTGTTTTTTCTTTTTTTTTTTTTTTTTTAAATCCAGCACGGAAGAGAGAATAACACCCCTAACGGCGCGGCCACAAATACAAGCGGTTGGTCAGTAGCACCATATCTACGCGAAAACAGTAGCAGAGAGGTAGAAAGATTGACAATGGGTGGCAACAGCGGAGAGATCCTTATGTTGGAGGCACCTCCGACACCTGCTCGGCCCTGGGCCTCTGCTTCCAATGCCGAGACTTTGGACGCATTACCCTACATTGACGACGACTATGGGAACCCAAAGGTCAAGGAAGAGGTTGATCGATTGGTCGAGGAAGAGATGCGTAGGAGTACCAAGAAGCCCGCCGACTTTCTCAAGGATTTGCCCCCTCTGCCCCGCTTTACTTTTCAGGTTTTTCCCCCCAATTTAGGCTTTTTTTTGGATCGTTGAGGTTTAGGGTTTTTAAGGTTTTATTTCTTTATTCAAACATACGTATGCCTCGTTTGGACCTCAGAATCACCCCATGATTGGCAAAGAGTATGAGCGCGTGAGAGCGGGGAGGCCACCCGTGACCCTTGATTTTTCCTCACGGTATCAAGTTGAACCCCCTCCCATGAATAAGAGAAATGATGAAAGTGCTTGGAAGCAGGCACTTCAGAGAGCTCAGCGATCATTACAACATCAAGTCATTAGGTCAGTTTGTTTTCTTAGACCTTAGTTGTTTGAGTTAGCAAGAATAGTTTATTATAATTTATAAGAAATATATATTTCTTGGTTACATGCTATTGTAATTCCATGTTTCTGTGAATTGTCAAGAAGTTAATCACTGGAATTTGATGTTTTTTTTGTTCTCACTCCTTATTCTCTTCTATTTTAGTCTGTTGTCTTGTAAGCCTTCTAATTTCCTGGCACTAGTTGCTTTTTATTAAAGTAGTGATGAAAGAAAACCTCACATTGTTTAAGTTTTTTTTTTTTTGGTTTGGTTGGATGCCCATCCTAAAATTTGAATACTTCTATACATATTTGATGTATGTTGTTCACATGCAGTGTTGACATTTTTTTTTTCTTGTAAATGGTGGTTGGTTTCAGGTTGGAGAATTTGGAGTTGATGTTAAAATATGGCTCTGATGTATGGAGACAGAACAACCAACGATTGGAAGGATTTTTGGCCAGGTTCTTTCCTAATTGAAATGCAACATCGATGTTATTGTTATGCTAAATCTAAAGTGGTTTTTTTGTTTCTTGTTGTTTGAATTGTTACATTTATGCTTATAAGCTTGGCCTTTTGCATTTTGTGAAGATAAGGCTAATGACAGCAATGCACTATATTTGATATGATGCGTATAAGTTCGCATGCCTTGAATAAGTACGACACTTGGATAGGTTTGTGCTGTGCATATAGTGCGAACAGTTGGCATATATTTTGAAGTTCTCAATCTATAGAGATCAAGCCTTAGGTGTTTTTCTTGGCTGAAGTAAGAGCCTTTGGCTAGATTTGGCATGCATGTTTAGCATAAGAATGTTGTTTTACACGATATGGCTGCAATAATTTGGCACTTTACTTTTTGTTGATTTCTACAGTTCTTTAGGCATAGTTCTTTGCCATATAAAGCAGTTGGTTATGGATGCACGTTTCTAACCTATAATAGCACTTTGGTTGATCTAATATTGCCTTAACAGTCTGGCACAATTATTAACAGTATACTATGATGTATATATATATATATATATATATATATATTTACATAGAGTAGATGAATGGTTAGATAGCAGATTTGTTTGTGTTGAGAAGGGGGTGGTGGGGGGAGGAGAATCATGTTGTTTTTTTTTTCCTTCTAGATGGTGTATTACATACTATAGAGCTAGCAGGTAAAGGTTTTCCTATGATCCAGTAAGACTCATGCTAAAGCCAAGCACTAACTACAATAAAGAAAGTAAATTATTTTTTTTGAAAAGATCTCATTTAGTGTCATTTTTTGGTACCGATTGGTCCAGTGAAGAGGTCAACTTGGTATGCTGAATACATTATATTGTCTTCTTAGGGTTTTGTAACATTGAAATGAATTTGAGGATGTACGTATCCATGCTTGTGGGTTTGTTTTCACTTTTTTTGGAGGACAGGTGGGTTAAGCATCCCTGCTTGTTAAATTTGTTAGCATGTGTTCCAGGGCACAACATTAATTTGTGTTAGGCAAGGTTATTGCTATTATGAAGAAGAATGATCCCACAAAGTATTTTATGTACAACAAATAACACAAAATAACTATACTCAATAATTGTTTGAAACCAGAATTCTCAATACAAAAAAAGTCAATAATCAAAATCTAACATCCAAACATAAACCTAGGTTTTAAGCCCATGGGAAAATAAAGCCCAACCCGAACAAAGACTAATGAAACAAACCAATATATTAAATCCTAGTTCCTAAATTTAAGTCCAGAATAGACATTCTTCCAAAACTAGGAGGAATGTTCTGAGGAATGTTCTCCATCAACATGCTAATAATGGTAACTTATCTTTGGGGCATAGTTAGAGTAAAAAATCCTTAGAGAAGCATGGCTTATGTGCATCAAGTCATTCAGAAAGCATAAACGGCAAGAAATAGCAAAAAATTCTTCAGGGGAAAAGAAGATTATATAATGCTAACTGGTGTTCTTATTAGAAGTGAACTCTGGTGAGATTGAAACTGCTATATGGTGCTGCTGCACAAGAAGTGTAAACCGGTGCTTGTAAAGTGTTGTATCAGTCTTGGACCAAAAGGTAGGAGGGATAAAACAAGAAAGAAAGACAAAAGAGAGAATGTTGTTCCACTTATTTTCTTAAACATCTAAATCTTCTTGAAACAATCTCAATTTCACAGTTATCCATCAAAGCAAAGTTTGAGATTCCCTTGCAAAGTCCTTTAGCTTTTAAAATGGTTTGTTGATATACCATTGACCCTATCATCTGCATATTTTGTTGTTTATTTTCACAGTCACTATCTTCTTTTCTTTTTCGTCTTTTCTTCTTTCTTGCAGAATGCAAAATTTGGCTCAGCAGCAAAATGACAAAATTGAAACTGTGAACCGTGAAAGAAAATATCATCAGGTGATTTCAATTTCTTTTGTGCCCCATTCTATTAATGATTTGGTATGATCTTGTATTAAAGCTTGTAAGCATATTAATTCTGACTGATCAGCAAAATACTGCTTATGAGCTCAATGCTTTGTCCGCACAATGGAAGGAGCTTTGTCAGAAAAACATAGAAATTCATTCTGCATGTGCTTATATTGAAAATCATATAGAAGAATTGAGGAGAGAAGCTGCTGAGAGGTAATCTATCTTTTCATGTTAGTGTGCATTTTGCCTGCTAGTCTTTCCCTAGCTTGGAACCTAATTAATCTTACCTATTCAGAGGCTGGAACTTGGAAGCTAATTTAGAGAATGGTGCTTTTTCACCTTCAGGATAGCAAGGTATGCTTCCTGTCATAGTAGCATTTAATTCAAATTTGATGCTCTGCTCTGTATTGGTGCAAAGACTAAGTTTTGAAGTCATGTTTTGCTTTTCCTCAATAATTTTTTTTTCAGTTTATTAAACTTTTTCCTGTACATTCAGACACGACCAGGAGGGAAAGGCTGGGAAAAAGTTGAACCCTAGACCTTGACCTTGAGGGAAAGGCTGGGAAAATGGTGAACCCTAGACCTTGACCTTCCATTGGTGGCATGAGCCATAACAACATCTAGCTCAAACCTAAGTTGTTATAATATATTGTATTTCTATATAAAAATGTTATGCAAGAATGTTTGGGAGTGTTGTCATCATTGATTCCCTCAGATCTATTTACTGCCTATTAGTCCAATAATTTTGGCTGTTAGTATTGTTTTAGAAAAGTTCGATCTGTATCATGTTCTTATTGATTTGAAGAGACTGATACTGATTGATTTATATGTTTAAAAATTATGATTTTTCGTGGTAACTTATTTAATTTCTGAATCTTGTTTTTTTTCAAATATGTTTATGAGGTAGAAGAGTTTTATTGTCTAGAAGTGAAAATTCAATTGTCAAAGAAAAATAAAAAAAGAGGTGAAAAGTTAATATTTGAGTATATTATGGCAAAACAAAAGGATTTGAGTGAGTTAATTTGCAAAACTCGAAGTTTTAAAGTACATGTTCAAGTTCATTTGTGGTTTGAACACTAATTTTTACTGCTTTTTTTTTTTTTTCTAGTCCTAGAGGCTATTTATAGCTAATGTGAACATGTTGCTCATGTTCTGATTTAGATGGATGCCTATTGATTTGGTTTGGTACACAAAGCATAAGTGCCATAAATTCTTTTGTTAGAATTCCTGAATAGAGCTAAAAAATGCTCTACTGGTTGGGATTCTGCTTCTGGAATTATCTGGTGTAACAGTAGTAAGAATAGTGTACTTGAGAGAGAGAACCAAAAGTTGAGGGGAGGGCTCATGAACCTTGATAATGGAAGCTGCTATTTAGTATTGAGTTGGAAGAGTAGGATTGACATATTTAAAGCAGCAAAAGCAGCTACAAAGAACTCACCATCCCCTACCACATCAAGTACTTGTTGTGCTGATTTGGATATAATCCTGTCATTTAGCATTTACCTGGTTCTATGACTTCGAACCATTGATTTTGTGCCTGGTAGCTTAAGAATTGCAGTTATGCATTGTAAATTCCTGTAGCTAATCAGCTTGCCTTCTGTTAGCCAATGTTGTTCTCCGCTGTAAGTAATTTAGGGGCTTCTCTTTTTGGGTTAATATCATAAATGACCTTTAAATTATAGTGAAATGTTTAATGTGATACTTAAACTTTAAAAATCCTTACTGTGGTACCTGAACTATGAATCTGTTAACTAATGTTGTACTCATATGTAATGTGGATATATTCAAATAATGACATGTAGCGGAAAACAACCTTTCAGTATAACATTAGTTAACAGATTTATAGTTCAAATATCATTTTAGAGATTTTTAAAGTCCAAGTGCCATATCGAGCATTTAATTATAGTTTAGGGACCATTTATGACATTAGCCCTTTCTTTCCATAAATTGGGTGCTCAAATAAAAAGAAGAAAAAAAATGAACTGTTGAAAATCAATATCTACAACAAAAGGAGAATTATGACTCTCCTTGAGGCAAGATTCTACGTTTACCATAGACAAATGCAATGGGATTTATGCTTTAATATGATGTACACCTGGACCTAATGCCAATAATATTTTTTATTACTTCTTCTGTTACAGGCTTTCAAAATATTCAATGGGTCGATATGGTTTGGTGGAAGCTTGCCACTGCTATGGAGAGTCCTTGATGCCATGTTCACGGGATATGACAATTGACGGAATGTTATAGCAGTTTTAGGGGCAACATCACATCCTGCTTCTACTTAAGAACTTCATTTACTTGTTATAAATGCATTCAACTGAATTGAAGTTTGGTAGCATGACTCCTAAAATTATCATAGAATAGACTGTTGTTCCTCCCATAAGCACAACTCGTATTGGGAGAAATATTTTTATTTAGAAAGTTTGATTGTGCTTTTCTTGATGCGTCCAATAACTTTGGTATGAGATTGTCTCAAGTTTTAACTAAATTATGTAATATCGTGCGTGGGAAAGGTTTATGAATAATGAGTTAGCTCTATTGTAGATAAGCAATATAAGAGGAGTGAATTGAATTAATTGGTTACAATTTTTTTTTAAAAAAAATTATTCAATAAATATTTGTGAGAAAATGATATAGAATAAATGCTTATGAAATTTAAGTATAAATGAATTTGAAATTAAATAGAAGACTAGTCGTAGAGAATTCAAAACTAGTGATTTATGTAGTAGCATATTTTCGATATTTGATTTGATTTTATTTATATATATATATATATATATATATATACACACATTTATGATATCAAAGTGTTAACATATTTTAATTTGGGTTGAGATTAAGATTTATCCAAAAATAAATTAGGTCTACTTTTGTTTAAATCCATTAAACAAATATAGAAATAAAGTGGTTTGGAATACGAAGATTGTGTTCACACTAACTGAAAAAAAAAGAGTATGGAGATTGATAAGATTATGGTCAGATTTATTATTATGAAATTTGCAGGAGTATATGGGTTCACATTGAAATCCCTTGATTTTAGGCATGATTCTAACAATTCGATCTGAAAGTTCTCATGTTTCGAGGAATGTTCCTAATCTATTTATTTTCTATTATTTTTTGGTAGGAAGCAGAATAGAGTTTTCTTTATCCTTAAGCAATTTTTAGATTGTTCTTCAAATTCTGTATTTTTTAGTGGATTTCTTAAAGTGATAAACTTTTATGGTTCTATATTCTTGATTATAATTCTTAAAGTGATGTTTCTGTATCCCTTAGTGTGTAGTTTTGGTAGTGAACTTTTATCCTTTTTAATCTAATAATCATATTCTATCATTATTCAAATTCTTGTGAGTTATCTTTTTTGTGAGATTTTCTATTTGCAATTACTCTTCAACATCTCAACCATCAATTTTCGACATCAATTTGGTATTAGAGCTATGACAGGTTGTCGTTGTTGTCGTCATCAAGCACTAGTAGAATTGGCTGAAGCCAACATTGACGTTGCAACAACTATTAATATTGACCAAATGGATGCCTCATAGAGAAGATGCGGTAACATATCTTTCAACTACAACAACAGTTACATATATAAAAAGAGAGAGAGGAGATAAGAATGTAAGAAAAGAGGAACAGAGAAGATGAATGAGAGCCCAATCCATACTATAGAAATAACAGTGATTCTAATGATAGCACCCCACTTCACCTACGACAAGTTAGAGATTATCTATGCAAAAATCAACTTTAACCTAGCATATTCAATTCAAAGATAAAGATTCCTGAGTTTTAGGAGAAAATGCAAACTAAAGAATTCTTAGATTGGTTACACACGATGGAACGCATATTTGAATACCATGATACCTTTGGACATCGCAAGGTAAAGCTAGTGGCCATCAAACTTAGAAAGCGTGTATCTTTTTTATGGGATAATTTGAAGAAGCAAAGGGAAAGAGAAGGCAAGAGAAAAATTGTAATTTAGAAAAAGATGAAAAGAGAGTTGAAGAGAAAGTATCTCTCAGATAACTTTCAGCAATATGTCTTTCTTAGGCTCTATAACTTGAAGCAAAGAGATCTCTCAGTAGAGGAGTATGTTACTGAGTTTGACCACATCCTGTTAAAATATGAATTGGTGAAATAGAAAAAGTAGACTATTGCCTGATATATTAGAAGATTGAAGATTGAGATAGTTAATGTGGTGCAACTACAACCTTATTGGACTTTTAATTATATATGCAAGCTTGCCATTAAGGTGAAAGACAACAAAAAGAGGCCCGTAGTAGCAACTTGAGATTTGGGTGCCGAGAAGGCTATATCAATAAAGGTGGCTCATCCAAGACTGTTATTCTTTCTAAGCCCATTCAAAAGTAGCCCCAAAAGAAAGATGAAACCTCAATAAGCAAGCCTTAGTCTAGTGCACAAACCAGAAGGTGTTTTAAATGTCAAGGGCTCAGACACATTACCTTCGAATGCCCAAACAAGAAGATTATGGCTATAGTAGAGAAAAACTTGGAGGAAAAAGAATAGGAGCTGACTAAAAAGGATCAAAATATTGAAGAGGAGTAAGAGGTAATCTATGGCGATTGTGGAGAAAAAAATTGGTTGCGTAAAAGTGTGTTCCACACTCGGTGTATTGCCCATTAGAAGGTATGTGATGTTACAATTGATAGTAAAAGTTTTAGAAACATTGTTTCTACCTTTATGGTGCAAAAATTAGGCCTCAAGGTAATGGATCACTCTCAACCATATAAGCTATCTTGCTTGCAAAAAGAAAATGAAATCATGATTAGCAAGAGGTGTTTGGTTTTTTTTTTTCTAAGAAAGTAATATAAGGATGACGTGTGGTGTGATGTAGCTTCGATGGATGCTTGCCATTTATTGTTTGAAAGACCTTGGTATTATGATCGGAGGGTTATTTATGATGGTTACCACAACACTTACACATTTGTGAATGATGGATGCAAAATCATCTTAGGCCCTACCAAGCCTATGGTGATGTCAAAACCAACCAAAGAGAAAGGAAGCAGCTTTTTTACGAAGGCCAATTATAGAAAGAAAATTAAGATGGGTGGTACTATGTATGCACTGGTGTTGATTGAAAAGAATAAAAATAGTGAGGAGTCCTTTGCAGTGATACAACCATTATTAGTAAAATTTCAAGATGTTGTTTAAGAAGAGTTACCAGTTGGTCTACCACTAATGACGGACATTCAACACTGCATAAACCTTATCTTAGGAGTTATTTTACCTAACAAAGTAGCCTATAGGATGAGTCCTAAAAAGCATGCGAAGTTGTAATGCCAAGTTGATGAATTGGTGAGAAAAGGAATGGTGTATTGAAGCATGAGCCCTTGTACAATCCCAGCCCTTTTGGTGCCTAAGAAGATAAATCATGGCGTATGTATATGGATAGTAGGGTAATCAATAAAATCATAGTTGACTATCACTTTTCTATTTTGTGCTTAGATGACTTGTTGGACCAACTACATGAAGCAACTGTTTTCTCCAAGATAAACCTACACAATGGTTATCATCAAATCAGAATGGGGCCTAAAGATGAGTGAAAAATAACCTTTAAAAAGATGGATGGTCTCTATGAATGGATGGCAATTTTGGTTTATCCAATGCTCCTAGTACTTTCATGAGATTTATGAATCATATCCTTAAACCTTGTATTGGCAAATATGTAGTAGTATATTTTAATAATATTCTGGTGTATAACAAAGATGATGACTAACACTTGAATCATCTGCACCAATTATTTGCATATTGAAGGAACAAAAACTTTATGCTAACTTTAAAAAGTGTAGTTTCTTTACTTTTGGCCTTATGTTTCTAGGGTTTGTGGTGTCAAAAGAAGGAATAAAGATGGTTCCCAGCAAGGTTGAGACAATTTTAAATTGGCCAACACCAGCATCTTTGCATGATATCCGAAGCTTCCATGGCCTTGCATCTTTTAATAGGCGCTTCATTAGGAGTTTTAACTCTATTGTGGCTCCCATCACCAAATGTTTGAAGAATGAAGCTTTTAAATAGACCAAAGAAGTCGAACATAACTTTGAGCTTATCAAGACTAGGATTACTAAAGCTTTTATCTTGTCTTTACTAGACTTTGATCAAGTGTTGGAAGTGAAATGGCATGCATCCAATTCTAGAATAGGTGCTGTTTTAAGTCAAAGAGGAAAGCCTATAACATTTTTCAATGAGAAGCTCAATGAAGCCAAGAAAAAGTTTTCAACCTATGACAAAGAGTTCTACGTCATATATTATTCCATTGGAGTTAGTATCTCATTCCCAAGCCATTTATCCTATATTTATACCATGAGGCCTTGAAGTTTATTAATAGCTAGCACAAGCTCAACCGAAGGCATAAATCTTAGGTGGAGTTCCTTCAAGCCTATAACTTCACTATCAAACACAAATTGAGAACTTAGAATATGGTGATAAATGCTTTAAGTCGAAAGTACTCCTTATTGGGGACTATGGTTGTTGAAGTTATTGGATTTGATGTGATCAAAGGGCTCTATCATACAAATCTTTATTTTGGTTGAATTTATGAAGAATACAAGCAAAGATCACACAATCAGTTTTTGTTGCATGATATATATCTCTTTAAGGCTAACAACCTTTGCATTTTCTCATGTTTCTTGAGACAGGCCTCAATCAATGAGGCTCATGATCGTGCACTAGAAGGACACTTTGAAAGGGACAAAACACTTGCTCTTTTGTAAGACAAGTTTTATTACCAAGAATGGAGAGGGATGTGATGAAACACCTTAAACGATGTAGAGTGTGCCATATTGCCTAGAGTCATGGTCAAAACACTAGATCGTATACTTCATTGCTCGTGCTTAATGCTCCTTGGGAGGCTATTAGTTTGGACTTTGTAGTTGGACTGCCCAGAACTCAAAGGAACAAAAACTCCATCATGGTGATTATGGATCATTTTTCTAAGATGGCCCATTTCGTTCCTTATACCAAAACTAAAAATGCTTTTCATGTTTTTTATCTGTATTTTAAAGAAATTGTGAGGCTATATAGAGTTTCTAGATCCATGATGTCTAATCGGGATTTTAAATTTCTTAGTCATTGTTGGTGTACTTTTTGGAAGAAGCTGAGCACCAATTTCAAATATAGTTTTTCTCATCATCCTCAAATATATGGCCAAACGAAAATAACCAATTATAGCTTGGGTAGTTTTCTAAGAAGTTATATGAGAAATAATATCAAGCAGTGAGATCTTATTTTACCTTAAGTAGAGTTTGCCTATAATCGCTCACCAAGCCAAACTACTAGTTGCAGCCTTTTTGAAGTGGTGTATGGTAAAAATCCAATTAGTCATTTAGATTTAGTTCTTCTCCTTACTAATTAACAATTTAGTGGAGATGTAGAAGAAATGGCTAAGGGTATTAAATGATTGCATGAACAAGTGAGAGCTAAGATTTTGCAACAAAATGAAAAATATAAAAAGACAGCAAACAAACATCGAAAATATGTGGAGTTCAAAAAAAGTGATTTGGAGTGAATTAACTTGCAGAAAGAGAGATTTTCTCCAAAAAAGTTTGGCAAATTACAACCTAAGGT